TTTTAAATATATTTTACTGAAACAAAAGAGAATCTTAAAATTCATTAACCCTATCTAAAATTTAATAAGTTATTTCAACTTTACCTCTATTAAATATGTATATTTTAATAACATGTTTTCTCTCTTCAATATTCAATGAAAAGTAAAATGGATAATTTGTGATGAAAATTTAATAATATAACTTATAAATAGTATAATTTTTTTTCTCTCTTCATTTTATAAATAGGACTGGAGGCGGAGTATCTTTGTAAGATGCTTAATTCCTTAAATAAGTGAATCTTTAGCAAAAGTGCAGTCACCAGCTGAGGTGGAAGCACATTTTTATATAGGACTTGATGGGAACGTAATAGTGTTAATTGGGGTCAGGCACCAAAGTTTTGATCCAATGGTAATGGCTGGCACCTGGATTATTGAATCTTTTGCTGATTGTTAATTCTCCATTTTTCCATAGACAGATGCATTAGACCTTTAAACTTCCGAGGGGATAGTCAAGCTTGTAAGGGAGACCAAACAGTCCACTGCACATATTCTTTCTCGTCAAGTTGATCCCGGTTGGTTTGTTCTGCGTCATTAAATTCATTATCCTCATTAATTGCGCCCTACAGCTCCAAAGAGGTTCGTCCCTATGTTGACTCCTACTTATAATTCCGCTGCACATAGACTCATGTATTATTTATCACTATATCCTAACATGATTCTCGATCCATTTGAATGAGAGATCTAGAGGGAGATGGGACATACAAAATCTCCATGCAGCTTGCTTAGTTAGTACTTTAAGGTGGCTGCCCAATGTTTATGCAAGGTTGTGGCATATGCATCCCGATGTTCGTTAGCTTCTGCTATCACATTAAAAATAAATGACCTTTTTCAACAAAAATTAAACATATTTCTTGAACATATAAGTTGACTTTTCCGCATAAGCATATTCATGTCTTTTAGGGGGGGGGGGAAGATTCGGGGTCTTCCTATAAATAGATAGTGCCTATGATCTGATTAGCTTGCAAGCCACTTCAACTCTGGATTATCATCACTTGGCACCATTAATTACATCGATCATTGCATGGCTAATACAGGTGTAGCACGACGAGTGTCCGTACTTGTCCTGATCCTCATCACGATGGTCTTTAGCTTCTTCATAAATTCGGATGAACGTGATGTTACAGGTAACTTGGTGATTCAGAAGCATCGCCTTCTGCATTATCAGCAAGGTCTTGATCATCTTTCAAAACGTGTGCATCACGTTCGAGCTGCTCACAGCACTCCTCTCCTCACAACTGATTCAGATAGAATCTCACCTGGAGGACCTGATCCTCAACATAATAATTGAGATATTGTTAATTAGAAGCGTGCATGAAAGGATACTATACTGATCCTTTCACATTTTCCAATAAAAGCTGTTCCCACTTCCCAGTAGTGTAGCAAATTATGCATCTTTTTTTAGTTTTACTGTTATCTTTGTAGGTTTAATTTGCTCTTTTCTTTTTTTCACAAGAGGTGTTTGTACTTTGAAGAGTTGAGTGGTGAACAGGTTAAGTGCCTCAGGGTAGTTGTTATAAGCAGTATTATCTAGAACCATTATTACTGTTGATGCTTGCACCGTGTATAATCATATGAAAAATTGAAATAATACTGCATGAAGCTGATCATCTCAAAATGAATAAAATAAATGGATAAATGGCATGATAATTCTATCATTAATTAAAAAAGCGTATGCGTGATGTAGCTGTTTGTGCATGTTTAAAGAAACGTATATATGAAAACCATTTTGGCCTTTTGAATTCCAAAAAATTAATTTAAAATTTTAATTGGATGAGGATAAATTGAGAAAATATTGATGTGCAAGTTTTATAGAACATTTTAATTTAATATTGATGGTCTTAATTAAATTGATATTGAGTTACTATTGTCTTATTAATTAAGTAAGAAATTTTCCAAGTTCCAATAAGTTGTTCAAACTTAAAAGTCATGAAACTTTTAGAAAACACTCGTCTTGTTTTATTTTTAAAAAAAATTTAATAAGTTTTACTGAAATTAAAAAAAATCTTAAAACTCATTAATTTTGTTTAGAAATTTAATAATTTATCAACTTTGACTTGATTAAATATACAGACTTTACATGGAGGTCAAATGAAAAAATTTACAATAAAAATTTAAGAGATAACTTATAAATAAAAATTCTCTTTACCTTATAAATAAAACTAAAGCAAGTACCCTGCATTATATGAGCACAATGCTAAGAGAAGCGTTCCATAAAGGGAGAAAACTCAGGAAAAAAGAAACACATAAACGAACTAAATTTAAAAAAAAAAAAAAGCGTTATAATTTACAAATCCACTCACTGCATCGATCCACCAATATCTACCTTGGAGCTTGGAGGATATCGCGAATCTATTTATATGTGGATTCCATTTAATTGGATGCCCTCATCATCCTCGATCTACTAAAACTTTCACTCTTTTTTCTTTTTCCCCTTAAAAACTGAAACTTTCTTTTTATGAAAAGGGGAAAAAACTAGTATTAAATATTTCCTTCCGAGCTAGCAATACCCTATATATATAGAGAACCAGCTAGTCACAGATTCCAGCCTACCACACACACATCTCGCTGTTAGCTTAAACATATTTTCCAATCAAATTTCGCACTTGATTGCGCATTTCACCCCTAAAATCTAAAGTGCGCATTCATACATATAAACATGGTGAATCCAGGAGTAGCACGAGTGTCACTGCTAGTACTAATAATGTTGATGGTGATGAGTAATGCGGAGGGCAGTGAGGCTGTGAATGTGGGGCAAGAGGGAAAGCATATAGAAAGCCAACGATTTCTGCATGGATTAAGGTTTGGTAACAGAGGAAGACGACGCGGTCTTAACTACGTTGCTGCTCCCTCAGATAGGGTTTCACCAGATGGACCAAACGCCGGCCACCACTGGGGAGGTTCACCTCCATCTACTTAACTTATGACCTACCAATGCTGCTACGTACGACAACCTTAATATAATCCCCCACGTACGATGTGCTATAAGAAGCTAAGTAAGATCCCTTTCATCTAGCTAGGCACTGGACTTCATGTGTGTGTGCGCAGTTCGAGTATGCGTGATGTTATTGTTTCTGTTCACCTGCAGTAAGCCATGTACAGCTAGCTAGTTGTCTTTGTTTTTCTTCGTGTTTCCGTATCAGCCATCACCGGCTTGCTCCTTTTTCGATACATAGCGACTTCCGGTGAACAGCCAGGTTGAAATGCATGTTTGGTTTTAGATCTAGAATTAATCCTATAAAAGTGCTTCAATGATCGTTAAACTTCCAATGAAAGTGGATCTTTTAGTGTTGTATGAAGGGCCTTGTTATGAAATATTCTTCATCCTTTCTAGGTCGTTACATATATGTGTGTGTGAACTGTATATTGATCTGGTCTTTATATTGTTCCAGCGTCTTTATATGTGTGTGTGTATTTTGACGCGCAATACATTATCATGTAAATAATTCAGTAATAATTATGGTAAGTGTTGTCAGAATATATAATAATTCCGCGCCAAAGTAAAAAGGTTAGTATATATAATCATACTGGAGAAGCAAGCAACCATGCATGCACGCGGACAAAAGGGGCAAATGAAAAATTGTTATATATTGGGTGTTAGCTAATGATTTGATAGCCACATTGGAACATGCTATCTGAATAAAATGAACGGCTTCCAAAGATCAATACAATGTAATGAACGGCTTCCAAAGATCAAATTAAACGAATGAAGCATATCAGAGTTTCAGAAAGTTTTAAATTAAAATGGATGGATGGCCAAGTGATACAATAATCCTGTAAGAGCAAGGCTCACAAAAGCAGTGCTGTGTGTTGAAGCAGATTATGCTGTGAGCTACTTAGATGCGCCTTATATATAGGTGTCCTTCCAACATCTCAAGGGAAAATACTTTAAAAAAGAAAGAAAAAACATCATCTCAAAATAAAAGGTTTTGTACTTTTGATTTTTGTTCAATTACAAGGTTCCAACTTGTAATTAACCATATGGACGATGTCTCTCTGTGTGTATGGGTGTGTGTGTTCCCTTCCATTGAATTACTCTGATTAACTAGGTGTACCTATATCAAGCATTCCAAGGGTTATGTCTACTCATTCCCACCTATAGGCTTCTGTCAATATATAGATTCATAACCATTGTTTTAATTATTATATTTTCCTCATAGCATTATATTGCTTTTCTCTACATTTTAAGAGTCATATATAATACAGAATGCATTAAAAAAACTTACTTTGGTGCAGTGGCACCTAAAAATTTAAGACTCCGAAATTTTATAAAATATTATATTATATGTTATTATTTGAAAAGTCCCTAGCTAGTACAAAAAGGACTTTCTATAGCAATATTTTACTCGGTTCAATAAGAAGTAGCGTAGAAAGTGCGTATGTTAGCATTAAAATTTTGATTCCAATAAACTCGTCATCGTCATGTTAGTAGCATGGTAATAAAAATTGGATCAATTATTGAAGAGTTCAAGGCATTACAAAGGTATTAGGTTAAAATCATAGTTGAATTGTGATCAAGCAGGTTTTAAATAAAATATTTTATTGAACCAATCAAGATAATTGTTTAACAGTTTCTTGATTTAATCAACTAGGTAGACCCAATTTTTAATATTATATTTAGCAGTATCTTTATAGAATATAGAAAATATTTATTTTTTATATTTTAAATATTCTTAAATGATCGATCTATAATTAAAAAATATACTAATTGAAGCTTTGAAATTTTTGTAAACATATATTTCATTTCATGAAAGCATCAGGAGAACTGCGCATAGATAAACTCATGGGTTTCTTGGGTATTTGCTATTATACTATTATTGTTTACTCAAAATATATTAAAAAATGTATCATGCATAAAATATTTTTTTTTTGTTTTCATTTAATTGTTTGTTTATTTATTTTTTCACGGAGTTTATCAAACGGAAATGACCATGTTGAAGAACAACAAGAGAGATACAAGAGGGTATTAAAGTTTGCAATTCCATCTCACCAGGGCCTGGGATCAAAGCCTATAATCGAAGTTTACCAAATGGACAAATCGAAAGCCCAAACATGATGGACCATGGAGGCTCAGAAGACTACGTGTGAGAAAACAAACAGCTTGCCCGTCATCGTCACTGGCATTTTGAATGCAAAAGTATACCTTCATCATTGTTGTTTCACTTTCACAGCGTACAAATATAGCAGAACCACAAATGATAGTCCTATTTTTTTTCTAAGGAAAAAAAAAAACAGTAGAAATGATAGATCCATAGGAAGGAATAAGGATATTGGCGACTCTTGCACTGCATCCCCAGAATTTGAACCGCGTGCCTTGCTTTCTTGATGATGAATTTTTCTTGTCGCAGCCTGAGTTTTTGTTCATGTACAGAGTTCAGGCAAGTCATTCCCAAATATGTTGAGAAGCCAGAGACAAGCAAATAATCTAAATCTGATAAATTAGACGATCACTAATCCCATTTTATTGGACAAAGCCACGAGCAGATGAATGGATAATGGAAAACAATGGGTTTTCCTGAAACGAGGAAAGAGGAAAGAAAGATCAGGCGAAGAGAGTAGCATGGAGAAGAACATTCCAGGTATCAGGGAGGCCCGGAAGACACCAGTGGCTGCAATCTGCCAGCATGACTCCACTGTAAGCTTCAGGGTGGGCGTCTTTCCTGTACTGAGACAGCGTCGTGACGTCCAGAAAATACACCGGCTTCTTCACCCTCCCCAGCACCTTGTTCACCACCACCCACGCCATCGGCGTCCCCTCCGGATACTCCAACCCGAAGAATGGTTGCTTCTCCTCCATGCACGACCTTGTCGGCTCGTTCCAGTATCTCCCCCTGATCACATTACTCTACATATCAGATTCGGACTCTCCCAGAGTTCATTGATATTAGATGTCAGATATCAAGGGCTTACTCGTAATGAACTGGTGAAATCCCCAGGAAGAAGACCTTTGTTTGGGAAGGATTGACGTTGAGGTTGACCCATCTGGCCCAAGTGGTGAGCCCCTTGTAGAATGCGATCATGCGGTTCATGTCTTTGTACAGCTTGTGTCGGTCTTGAATATAATCAAACCTGGAAGCCCAGGATTTGGTGTTAGCAAAAGCAGTAAAACATGAGTTGAGTTAAACAAAGGTCGAGTAATGAAGGACAGGAGGAATACGGTTGGGCGGAGCCGGTGTGAGTCCACCAGTGCCAGGTGTTGAAGACGAGGACGTCCATGCCCCTCCAAGCGTCACCGCTTTTAATGGAGTCAAGCTTCAGCACTCTTCCCTCTTTCTCCCTGTCCAGATCCACCAAGTATGGCGTTCTGTACAGAAATAGACTCAGTCCATAGTCCTGCAAATTTCACCACCCACCCCACACCACACCACATCATCAGCTCAAAATATTTGGTTTATCATATCATCAACTTATCATTTGAATTAATTGATATAAAAAATATCCCATTTTAAAAAATATAAATTAAATTTATAGTTGTGAACATAAAATAAATATATTTTGATAAAAATAATTAATATTGTTTTAAGGGATGATATTTTTTAGTAACCTTAATTAACATCTACATTCCGATCCCTATCAAAGTTACGATCCTGATAACTTCGTTAGCCGTTTCTATGGTCTTCTCTGGATTAATTGCCTTTAGAGTCAGTCAGTTCTAATCTTTGTCATTAAATTATTTTGAAATGTTCGTGTAAGCGACAAAAAGTATTGCAAAGCAAACCATTACCCACGGGGTTGTAAGGAGAAAAAATAGCAGAAAGAGTCTTCGTCGTCTGCAACAAGTGGTCCTAAATTTGACACTTCCCTGTTTACTCACTGACCCTTCACTGGCGAAGCCGTGCAAGAAGCAAAGTGCGTCTAACTTGCACTACGTGTGGTCCCTATTCTCATGTCATTATACGCTAACGCCGCATATTACACGCTTCAACACTCCAACATTACCTTTGGCTCAAAAAAAAAAAAAAAAACACTCCAACATTATCAAATCAATCTTACCTCTGATTTATTTATTTATTTATTTATTTATTTTACATTGAATCTTGTTCTATCATTCTCCCAAAAAGGAGCGAAAGGGGCGAAAAAAGAAGCAAACAAGATCCACTTGAACAGCTTCATACACGCTCACGCTCTCTTTCAAAGGATTGTTTTGGATTTATAAGAAAGATGTTTATCTAATTATCATCAATCATTATATTTACAGGAACGCGCATCAATGATCATCATCAACAGGAGATGGGGCTCTCTTCAATGTCTATGTTTCACTCATGACTCAGTTACCCTACCAGCGCGATATGGAGCGCAAAACTTACAGGTCCAGCATCAATTATTGCTGTTCCAGACATTCGGGTCGTAAAGTTTCTTTATAAAGCAAATGGTGAGGTCACACAAATCAGAAAAGTTCGACGATTTCTGTATCGAGATATGGTTTTTTGAAGCAAGCTGTGTGAATTTTGCAGGATAAGGTCCCTCCTCTGACCATAACCAGAACAAGTCATTTTTTTCTTCATGCTCTATGATCAAATCTTTCAAAACTATGAAAGCACGTTTAAGTTTTCTGATACAATATGTCAGAAACATTTATTGAGTGTTGATCAAATTATTTAACTTAACAGTAATTACACGCTTCCTGCAAAAGGAAAAGCCTCCCAACTTTACTTAGATCATTTGTTTGCTTTGCAGGAACATGCCAAAAAACAAACTCCACAGGGATTTATTGAGCTCGATATTCACCGACTTATACCAAACAGATTCAAAAAACAGAGAGAAAATGACGAAACTTGCATGGGCAACGCCACCAAAACAGCAATCATTTCATTTTAAGAGTTTGAAATTTTCGAAAAACGAGAAAGCAAAGACTAACCTCGAATGTGACCGAAGAGAGAACGCCTTTCTGTCCAGTGGAGGTCCTGGAGTTTGGTACCCAAGAGTGAATCATACAAGCCAGAGAATTGAACTGGTTCAAGCTCAATGAATCGCCCACAAACATAATTTTCTTCCCCCTGTATTTCTCCAAGAAATTCAAAGCATTGAACCTGCACAAAAGCTCGTACCAATTGAAAACCAAACATGAGACTCTGATACAGAAACAAGCACACAACAAATCCTGTAGTACCTACATGTGATTTCAAGTAAGATAGTAAATACCTTGGCAACGGACAAGAAAATGGCTGCCATCTGTATTTCTGATACTGAGTATCGGGGCGACCATGCTTCTGGCAGTTGAACTGGCGATCTATGAAAGGACAGGAATAAGGGTTGTAGAGAGGATACGAAGCGTCGTAAACCCATTTCCCGCGGAACCAATTGCATCGACCGCTTGCGAGCTCTCTGGGTCTGATGTTGGTTGCATTACCGAAGGAGGAATCCAAGTCCTTTGCTTTTGTTCGGTGGGCAAACAGAGCGAGAAACAGAGAGAGAAACAGAACACGTAGCAAGAAACCCATTTCTTGGGTTTCGAGAAGAAATTTGTCCAATACAAAAAGACTGGCAGCGTGCTCAGAGTTGTCCAACGTAAGGCCTTATGTATAAATGTGTATGGGACACAGAAGCATGGGAGGTCGGTATGTAAGGGGTCCACAAAGCGAAGAGCGAACAGAGCACTTTTTTTTTTCTTTCCTATTTTAATATTCTCACTCTGTTGGCACAGTAAGTGGAACTTCACTTAAAAAACAGGTTCTTGTCTGGACTGGAAACCACGAGCATGTGGGGTTGATCCAATCCTTGATCTGAAATCATGATAAGCTTGATTCAAAAATAATGGCCGCATTTCCTTCACCTAGAGGTACATGATATAAAACTGTTCAAAGTGGATGTGAATTTCTGGTGGGTAATGGGTGATTTAAATTATATAAACAAGTAAAGCAAGTTCTCGAAAGTTAGAAAGTAAGATCAAGTATGGACATTTAGAGAAAATATATGATTTAGTCTAGTTCCCTTCAGCGTCCCTTGTACTTCGATTCATCCACTTGTTGCAGTTTTAACTTTTTGTGCGGTGGCTGCTGTGAGTTTAATCTCAGTTAGGTCATTTTAGGTCTCCTCGGATAACGATGGTTTAAAATGAATACTGTGTAATATTATTCAGTTTTTTTTATAAGTTATTTTTATTAATTTCATCAATATTAATATAAAAAAGAATAAAAATTTTAAAATTTTAAATACACTCATATAAAATAAATTTAAATAGTGATGTCATTTTATTTTTTTTATTTATTAAGAATAATTTTAAAAATATCTTTCAAATATTATTTAAAAAGTCACACTGTAACTTATAAATAAAATTAAATAAACTTTAAAAAATGTGCCTTATAAATAGGATTGAAGTGAATATTTAGTCACTATATGGAACATTATTTCGATAATTAGTGGAAGTCTATTTTGATCCTTAATGAAAGTCACTTTCTCTCACTTATTTCATTTAAAAATGTAAAATATTTTTAATCAAATCTCACCCATCAATAAAGTATTTATCTACTTTCAAACCAACCATATCTTTTTATATTTATTCCTATTAAATACCCTATAATAAATATAAAGTTATTATCAATAAGTAAACTTTTGGAAAAAGGACAATGATTACACCTCAAAAGATTTAAAATATTTTATATTTTTAAATATTTAACTCTTCAAAAAATATCTTATATTTTTTAATGAGAAGTATTTTATGTAATTTTTATGCACATTTTTTTTAAAATACTCTTAGGTTCCAAAAAGAAGTGCAACATTTTTATTTTCAAGAAAATTCTTTTCATATGTTAATTTATTTTTATTTGAACTTAAGGGCAAAAATAAAAGGTGATTTAATTTTAAGACAATTTTATTACTCTCTCTATTCTAAATTATAAAACAACTTTAAAGGTATTTCAGAGTTTTAAAATATAAAACAATCAAACAAAAATAAAATTTTATTAATAATACTTTTTAATATTATTCTTGAAATAAAGAGAGAATTGAAGTGATTATAAAATTAAAATTGTTTCAAATAAAGGGTATTTTTAAAACTTTTATTTTTATTTTAAAAAAATAAATTTATAAAATATTATTATTAAATTTCATTGGTAGGTTAATTAAAAATAATTTATATACATAGGAACAGATAAAGAGAGAAAGAACACCGTGATTGACCGGCAATTTTGAGGTTGTTGTTTCGTGAGCCTGCTTTGATTTCTTTTGCATAAAAAATGGGGGAGTTGAGCGTGCGGCGCAGGATATGGCTCTTCACCTTCAGTTGCAAACTGTTGAAAAATAATCTGCGGCGAAAGGTTGATCGGTGTGAGACTTTTTTTTTTTTTGTTTATTATAAAGTATTTTTTAAAAAACCTTACTTAATTTAATAACATCTTGAATAACTTTTATATTTTTTAATTATATTCCTACTTCATTTATTATTATTTTTAAAAAAATATGTATTAAAATTTTAATTATTATTATCAAGGCTTTTAATTTATATATAATATTTAATTCTAATATAAATAAAAAGATGTAGACATATTTAAAAATTTAAGGTTTCAATTGATATTATTTATAAACTATAAATGAGTTAACTATAATTATATTGTGGTTCAAGAGGGAGTAAACTTTACAAATAAGGATATTAAATGGAGGAGTACTCATTACATAAGATATAAGTAATGGATAAATCTTTCATGTTATGCACCTGATAAGCCAACCTATTAGTACAAGAGTGTGCCCTTTCAAGCAAATTGTCATATATAGGTTATTGATAAATCTTTCATTAACTGATCCTTGATCTCAACGAGAATTTTAATCAAAGGATGGTTTCTTTTAATCAAGGCACAGGGAAAATCATAAGATTTGATTGTGCAGAGTGAAACCTATATGAGAAATTGGCTAAGGGATTTGAGTGTTGTTTGAATAATAATGTAGGACAAGTCCGATAATTAAAGCGACATACAGACATGATGAAGCTTTTTTCTTGAAATCAAACTTTATGATTTTTTTTTTATGCTGTAAAAGGTTGATTAGTTTATAAGATAGGAATTTGGATAATTCATACCTAATAATGTAAAATAGAGCTTAGCTTGCAAGCAGATGGCTTCATGGTAGAGAAATGAAGTCTGCGACTGCAACTTCCAAGTCAAAATCTGCAGGAAGCATCCCTCTCTCTCTCTCTCTTTGTCCCCTTTAATATAATATCTGTTAACACGTTTGGAATATTTTGGTCCCTTTAAAAATGGGGTAGAAAAAAGAGGAAAAGAACAAAAGCAGAGGGGCCAGAAGATTAAATGGATGGTGACGAGTGACCTGACCTCCATGTTTTTATTCCGTTGAAGCTTTAGAGCACTTACCAATAACTGAACTCTAGCACCCCCACCAACCATATGACTTGAAAATTACAATTTCCAAAGTCAAAAGAGTGAGTTGTCCCTCACCCTATTTCAAATCATTAATAAAAAAAATTACTTTAAATTAAATTTGATACGCGCGCAAACACATGGACATAGATGCATGCACATGCAAATTTATAAGTATTTTGTACGTAGCAGCAGAATAACAGATCAGGGGAGAGTATTATATGGTAATAATGAACATATTCACGTGGAAAAGAAAATTGAAGCAAAGGAGCCAACAATTGCAAAATTGAGTTCATGGACTTGGTATGATCTGGAGATTCTAATCAGCGCCGTTGACGAAGAAAACGAGTGTAATAATTAGGGCGTACAAAGGAGAAAAAGATGAGTGCCACTCGTGGAAATTAAATATGCATGATCACAAAAATTATATTCCGTGACCAATAACTTGCAAATTTTGCAATCAAGGGTCTGCAAAAGGAATCTTTTAATTGGTGTTTGTAAGAAAAATAAAATGTCAAGGTTATTCGTTACAAATTTTGTCAAATTTAAATCTCTAGAATGTTGCTTCGGCCCCAATTTTTAAAATAATTTTAATAAAATTATGCATACTAAAAAAATTTATTGAATATACTTAAAAAATTTATTTAAAAAAATAAAAATAAAAATTTTAAAAAATACTCTTCATTTAATAATTTGGGAGAGGATATGATAATAAGAAAAGGTTAATAATACTCCCTCCATTTTAAATTATAATACACTTTTAAAGGTGATTCAACATTTTAAAATACAAGACACTTTGATTAATGATATTTTTTAATATTACCGCTCTCATATCTTTTCTCTCCTTAACATTTTTTTCACGTATGGAGTATTAAATGAATGACATTTTTTAAAGTTTATATTTTTATTTTGAAGAAATAAGAATGTAAAATATATTTAATTGGTATATATGATTTTTCTTAAAAGTGTCATATAAATTGGGAAAAATGAAATATAAAAGCATATTTAATGAGGGGTAAGATTTATTCTCTTCGTTAAAAAATGTAAGGTATTTTTAATTGAATTTCACCCCCAATAAAGTAGTCATTTACTTTTCAACTAACCCTATCTTTTTATATTTATTTCTATTAAACACCCTACAATAAATATAAAATCATTATCAATAAGGACACTTTTGAAAAAAAAAAGGTAATAATTACACTTCAAAAGACAAAAAATGTCTTACATTTTTTGATATCTAACTTTTCAAAAAATGTCTTATATTTTTTAATGGAGGGAGTATGTATTTAGTATTATATATTTAATACACTTATATCCAATCAAATTATAATAAGTGGATGTTAATATGTTAATAAAATTAATATCAAAAATTTATTACAGAATAAATAATCTATAAAAGATTCATATATTTTTATTTAATGAGAAACAAGCATATTAAATATGTAAAGCTAAATATATAAGCCTTCCCTATAATGAAACTTTATTTTTATTAAATTATCTTATATTTTAAAATGTGAAATCATTTTCAAAATTATTTTATAAATTGAAACGGAAAGAGTATGATTTTTAATGATTTTAACAATTATGAGTTTGGAGGATGTGGATTGAGTGATTTGAAAGACAAAAAAACTCATGAGAGGTGTATGATTAGCAGGTTTTGATTAATCAATTCTCAAGACAAGGGCCCTTGAAATGGTGGGATGGTTAGTTATGGAGATCAGGGTTTAGTGTTGATGAAGCAATGGACCATGAAGGTGCCTGCTAGGACAAGACTGCAATAATGTCCAATGTTTTAGAAATAGAAGTGGGTAGGGACATTGTTTTGTTTGTGTGGAACACATTAAATTCCATTTCATTGCTACTTGTGGATCATTATTCATATATCCGGACCCCGCCAGTCAAAACTACAAAATTAAACAAATTGTTTTTTTCCCACCGGATCATTCAGAAGGCCCAAAAACTGACGAGTGGAAATTGATGCAGCGTGGGGTCGATCATTGAGAGGTGTGAATCACAAAATAGTGTTTTTCTCGCTCTCACTTGCCAACTTGTGAAGTGACCAGTTTCTTTCACTGTTTTCTTTAATTTCCATATTTTATTAATTTGTCCTCACACTTCCACACACCCTTGACGCCATCAAACTTTGAAATATTGACATTAATAATATCATATCGTTTTATTCTAATTTGAGTAAAAAAATTACTTTTTATATAATTACTCATTTTTTACGGGTCGAGGCGATGGCAAAGCTCTCATAATAAATATTTAACATAATTAAATATTCAAGATTTAAATATGAGATCATTAATTAAGCTAAAAAATAGTTTTATTCTAATGATAACAATGCACTTATACCACTGATTACTCGATCACTTATAAAGTTACATTTTTATATTACACATGCTGAATAATCATTTGATTCTGAAATTCGGAGTAAGTTTTTAATCCAACCATCACCCTCATCGTTTACGTTACAAAATAAGACGTGTACTTATGTACTCACATTTTTCTCCTTTAATTTATTTTCCAATGTGGGGCCAGAAATGGATTTTGCTTAGATTGTATATCAAGTCGCATTAATTACTAATCCATACTCACTTGCCAAGTTCTTTCAATGGTCTACAAATTTCTGCAATATTGGCTTTCGAATAATACTATTTTGATTCTTAATATGAGATGAAATTGACAAATTTAGTGCTTATTAAAAAATGTTAGTTAAGTATAACTTATAACCCTAAAAATATATAAAAAAAGTGTAACTTTCTAATTTCATCCTTCTTTTTAATTAATGATCTTAATAAATTAATGTTTAGAAATTCAAATAATAATAATAAATAAATAAATAAGGAGTAAAATTGAAATATAGTATTAATTACTTTAATTTCATTTTATATTTAGAAAAAAAATTTTAAACTTGATCTTATAATTGGGGGTGGAGAGGGTAGCATGATTTGGCTCATATTGCAGATCTATGCTTTTACTTGCTTCATATATGGATTGCTTGCGTCTTCCTCTCTGACACACTTTCTATTATTTCCAAACATTAATTGCGTCAAAATAATTTTTTCCCTTGAGAAAGTAAATGAAAGAAATTATTTATCATACAAGTCAAAAAAATTGGCTAGCTAATTGCGCATGATAAAATTATATAAATTGAAATTAAAGCTTTTGCACCAAACACATGCTAAGACAATGAGTAGACAGAAGGGAATATCATTACTAACTTCTGACCACTTTATTAAGTTTGAGCCATCTAAGCATTTTTGCACTCCATTCTTAATTATCCATACCTACCTCATAAAATCTCATTACTTGCTTGTGGGTTTTCTCTCAATATCCTACCCATTCCTCAATTACTTGTCTTTCTAATGAGTATGCTATAATTTTAAAGTCATGTATAAAATACAACAAACACTATTAAAATGACCTTCTTGTAGGTCCTGTTTGCCTTGTGGGTTGCCGTCTTTATTGAAGGAAGCCATCAAAAGCAAGCAGACTTTGTGGGTTGTTAATTTGATTATAACGAAGGAAAGGAATAGGTGCTTAACGCACTTGTGTTCGTCTACTGCCAAAAGGTGGACAGAGAATGTGGCTATCTTTGTTTTCAAGATAATCCTATTTCAAGTTGGGCTCTGTGGGTCATGCCTACCAAAAAAGCCTGGCCCATCTCTGTTTCTGGTGGACTTTCAGCACAAGTTGCTTGCCAAACGATAAAATTCTTGGATACTTTTCTTTATTCTCCATGCTTTGCATCTTCTTGTCTATTTCCTTTTGAAATTTCATAAGTCAATAATGGCCGGCTTTGTCCATCATCATAGCTCCATTGAAACAAGACTCTATGTTCTTCTACTTAGTTTAAAGGTTGAAAATTGATGATTTTTGAAAAATAATTAAAAATAAAATACTCAAATAAGGTTAGGTGTTCAAGTATTTCTCAAACACGAAGAAAAATAAAAGACCTTATTGATCAAGTAATATTGACACGAATTGATGCAAACATAGCTTTGTTTAATCCTTTTTTCTTACACACATATGTACATAAACAAAATTTTCAAACTATTTACAAAGATAAAATGTGAATGGTGACGTAAGAGGTTCAAACCATTTTATTTTATTTCTACTTTTTTTAAAAGGAAGGAAGAAAATGTTGGGGATATTGTAGGCCTGCACCTGCTAAACATTTTCTGCTTTGACTATTGCAGGCCTCTCGGCTCGTGCGCTCACGTTTTCACTATCAGGTCTGTATGAGAGAGCAGGCAATCTTTTGGCGAATAACTTGATTGACCAAAATAGTATGATTGACATTTCATCCAAAAAGCAAAGTATGATTGGCCAATGACGTGCTTCTCGTTTATTTTTGAAACTGGACACAATTAAGTCTCACTTGCACCACTACTTGCTGCAAGAGAAAGTGTCATCGAGTCTTACAAGCGTTATAAGTATCTGCTCGAACACTATTTTCTTATTATCCAGCAAGCTAAGCAATTTTAAGTCCGTATTTTCGTATCATCTAACTTTGCCTAAAAATAGATACCTACTTTCTTGCACAATATCAACCATTAGGAACACACTCCCCGCTTAAGTATCAGAAAGCTATGAGCCTGCGCACATATGGTCCTTCCACGAGAATTTTCTGTTTACAGAAGTTCTAAAGTTTAATCCTCGCGTCAATGGTCCTCATAATCTCCCAGAGAGTTCAAGCTGATAACATTGCCATCCCATTTCAATTGCGTGCAACCACAGGAAATAGAAATGCAATAACACGGCTCTTCCATTGCGTCCAAAATTAAAAATTCTAGATTCAATAGCAAACGGGATGAAGGGGCATGCAATTGGCACTAGCAAGCACAGACAGAGAGACAGAGAACGTAGATACATAAATTGCATTTCATCATTTAAATGTTATATAATGGGTAGATGGAACTCCTCTTTGGATGTTCTCATAAAATGGCCAAATTAAGGCTTCCCTTCTCTTACTTTCCCTTCTTAAGAAAGCAAAATAAAAGAAAAGGAAGCGTGGCTGGAGAGCCGTTTAGAGGCAGCATAGATATAAACAAACATTGAACCCATCACAGCTCTACCAGGACTAAGCGAGGAGTGGATGTAAAAGTACTGCATTAGTGGAAATATATGTGCATGCATGACTTTGTCACAGTGATGCTTAAAGAACCTCCCACTCAAATTCAGTGATATTTGGAAGAATTGGTTTCTTATGATTCTCCTCTGCAGAAGCTGCATCTGAAACCTCCACACACTCTCCTTTGCCTTTGCCTCTGTTCCCATGCCATACTGCAAGCTGCTCATACTCTTGCTTCCTTCCAGACTTCTTACCTAAGCTAAAGACTCGCCTCATCTTTTTCTTCAAACAATAAATGATAGTAACAATCAGTTCAAGAAGAATATTCTTCTAGAGAAGAGGGGGAGTGGGGAGGGAGTGGGAGAGAGTACCTTGTTAGTCTTTAGATGATCTCCAGCCATGGGGATTAATCTGAGTTCATCTCCACTCACCATTACACAAGACTGCTCAAGCTTCTGCTCATCACCTTTTTCCATGGCTTCAGGGTCCTTTTCTATCATAACATCAATATCGAAATTCCACCCATCTGGAATTCCTTGAAATATTACTACTAGATATCGTGGCATAAGAAAAATATGCAACCAAATAACTTCATGTCTGTTTAAATATGCATGCATGTAAAACACGTTATAAGAAATTAGTCAGCATTCAAAGAATTATTTTTCAGAATGAAATCGCTGGTGATCACATCAAACACCTAAGTAGGTACATCTTATAAATGCACCCGACTTATAAAACTGGTGCGCCCTCATAATTATGCAAGTGATAAAATTTAGCAGAGCTGCCTAAAGAAAATTCAGCCACGTCCGTCTTTATAACTGCCTCAGCAATTTGACACACCTATCTGTGAGCCCTCCCAAATCATTGTCCTATTTCTCAGCACGCAGAGATGGCACTCAGGCTGGGATTGCTGGTGACTAAATAATGTCCAATGGAGGAAAGTTTTAGTGGGCATCATATCTCATAGCACCGTTAGTAGATGACACGATAGAATGTAAACATAACAGAAGATGCTGGATTTGTCCGGAACGTTGGTAGGTGTTTGTAAACAAATTATGTCAACCCTCTGACTAGGGTCGAGTTAGAATCCAATTGCAAGATATGGGACTTGAGTCCCAAATTAGAAACGTGGGATTTTGATGTGAGATTTATAGACTTTGGGCTCTCCAATGTTACAAGCTAGTTTTCAGGGAGTGTTTAAAGAGTTGAGGCAAAACTTCCTTTATCTGACTGAGCTAAATATTATGTTTAAATAATGTAGACAGAGGAAATTTGAGTGAGTTGAATGCTTTATTTGATGTGTCTAAGGTACATTCTTAGAAATGGACTCACCGTTCACAAGAGAATAACGTAAGTTGTTCAAAGAAAGTCGCAATCTTTGTCTTTTTTCTTTCAGAATGTGAAGCAGGACAGACTAGTAAAACTACCATTATTTTGGCCCTAAAGCCTGTGCCTCACTTATAAAACATTGACTCCAACGTAAGACAATCAATCCTCATCCGATTCCACTTCCAGGAAGGAATCCACATATGAACACGAATTTTTATTTTTATTTTTTAAATGATGATATAGCTCTCTAGAGAATCCATCCAAAGTATGCCCGTGATGCTGTGTGCAGGCACAGGTCTTAAACACACTCTTTGTCTCCCTAGCTTTCTAAAAATTCCAGTGTGCTGCCCTAATTTTAAATCAGATGAAGCTCTCCTATACTAAGAGTGACACAGCTTTGTGGTTCCACCTGAATGTTTTTGAACTACAATCCCAATGCTGCATTGATTGCTACTGAATCAGATGATGTTGCTCTACCTTTCATATCAGATGTAACAGAGGGGCAAAGCTTAAAACTTCTAAGAAGGCTTTAGTATCTATCTTTTACACTCAGAAGAATATAAACAAAACAAATAAATTGATGAATAAAATAACAAAACTAGAAAATTCCTGTCGAATTCTCAGTTGCTACTGAGTGAGAATTATTATTATTATATTCATGCACCATAAGAAAGAACAACCAGACCAGCAATAAGATATAATTCCAGAAATTCAACAAAAGGAGGTCCATATAATGAACTAAATAAGTACTCCTGAGGAATACGCTTTAAGAACTGGATGAGATAGAATGACAGTGCTATAAGAACAATAATCAGACTGTAATTCTGTTTTCATGGTAGAAAATAAAATAAACAATACACTTTAATAGTTACATCAGAAGCCAATACCGAGCAACCAGCAACAAGGAGGAGAAATGTGAGGAGAGGGAAGAAAAGAAAGCATCTGCAAGGATACTCACCATTTAGTTCTCCAGACTGGACACCGGAGGAAGAAGGACTCACATTCATCTCTTTTCCTTCAGCAGGTTTAGGATCAAACATTGGAAGATCAGGGATCTCTTCAGAACTTTCATTTTCACTGCAACAATCGGAAACCAAGTCTGACATTTTTACTTCAGCTGGAGATTGATTTGAAATGCTGGCTGCAGGACAACAAGGCACTTCATGATTTTCACTTAAAATTTTACTGGACAACGGCCTGCATGTTTCTGTTTCTGTTTCAGTTGAAGAGATTCCATCCATTGTCCTGGTTAGAGCAAGGTTTGATCTGATATTTGTACTCCTAACACGTTGTCTTGCACGTGAATGGAAGTTGTTCGCTTTGAAAGAGTTGCCAGGAGCTGATGTCAATAAAACATCAGTGTCACAAGATTTTTCGTATGATGTAGCGCAGGTGACATCTTTATCAATAACATGATTGATCCTTAAATCCTTCCTTACATGCTTGATATCAACCTTTGAAGGTCTTTCTTTGGGACCCATAATTGACTTCTTATGGACCTCAACATTAGTGCCTTCATCTATAGGAAAATCAGACACTACTCTTTCATCCAAATCACAAGGGGGCAGCAAATCTTGCATGACGTCTGCATAGAATTTTTTAACACTTTCCCCAACAGTCTGCACCTGATTCTCTAGGTACTTAATGGTGTCCTATCGCAAAAGGAAAAAGAAAAAGAAAGAAGAAAAGGAGTTGGATTTGATACTGTAAATTCATGGCAGGGAAGCAAACCAGCAGCTTGAAAAAACAATTCAACAGCTACTGCTAAAAAAGTTCAAATACATAGAACTAAGCTGTCTTAAAGGTTACATTAAACTCCCATAACAATTATAATCACCATACTAATGAGTAATAACAATTATAGAAAGAATACCACAGATATCTAGCCAAATATGACGAAAAGGTACACCTTCACCAATATTAGAGGAGAGGCATATATTTTAAATTAAGTTTCTAATGACATTTATTACATGAACTCACTAGCCTGCTTGAGGAAAGCTAAATGGACAACAAACGCGTACCTCATATATCATTTCTTCCGCTTCCAGGCACATATTTTCAAACTTCTGGTATATATTCCCAACCCAAGTTATGCCTTTTACTTCCATTGTGATCATAATAACCTTGCTGGAATTATGAATAAGGTTATAATCCTCCTGTTTGAACCTTAAAACGTTATAACCTGACTGCCTTCAAGATACCAATGCGCACACACGATATAATTATATTTATGTTTTCAATAGCGAGGCTGAAGTGATGTAGAACGGCATTGATCAGGGAGTATTTTACAATTTCCAAAAATATAGAATGGCTTGCAGATAAATTCAGTCCTAGAACACGTTCAGATTCAAGAAATATTCTTTTAAACCCAGGTAATATTTTTAAAAAAAATAATAATTAATCATGTGAAACTCAAAACCCCAACCTCCCAATCCCAGTTCCTACCAACCAACAACTTTGCGAGCCCATAATGTTATCTTCTGAAGTCTAAACCAAACCAAACCTTTCATGCAATTTACCAAAAAAATCCCGAATTTTTTTACTTCTTTTTTTCTTGAGCAGACAGTCGAGACTGAAAACATCCTCTCCCCGCCTTAATAAAAAGTACAAACAAAAGGCTACAAGAGAACATTTCCTTAATCAAAAGTGTCATGGAAAGGCTAGGGTAAAAGTTTAACTTTGCCTAAGAACAGCTAAAATTAATATAAAAGACCCCACCAAAATTCAATCAAAAAACAAAAAGGCATACATACAGCCCCATTAAAACCAGAAAAAGAAGGAAATTGTGCTCAGAAAACAAAACCCAGTTCCGATATTATTATCCGATAACCTAAAAGATGAAAATGATTAAAAGCACAGGGTTTTATTTCATAGAAAGTTCAGAACTTACTTGCTCGGAACGTCCAACAAAGCCAAGCCGAAGGAGTCCTATCCAACTCAATTAAGCCTTTAAAGGGACTGAAGACTCGAAATTTAATCCGATAACAGAAGTGGAAAGGGAAAAAAAATATATCTATATATATACACACACGTATAGATATTCAGATTAGGACTGAGGAGGCGGTCTCCGAGGAGAGAAGGAAAGGAAACGTATGGAGTGAAGACTCAGCTTGGGGAGCGTATTATAGCCATACGATTGACACGTGGATTCCGATTCCTAGTCATCTCGGCTCATCCAGCCACTCGTCGCTCACTTTTCCGGTGTGTGGGTCCCGCTTCCTCATTGGTTTCATGATTCTAGAATTCAGCTTTTCGGGTTTTTTGTTTTTCCGTCGGCCAATTTTGGAACGGTGGGACCTATTTTAACGGTGGATAAATCAATCCATGAGGTGGTGTTGTTATATTGACAAGCTTTCCATCTATTTTCTCCACCTGGTTAGTATTGTCATAAGGTTCTTCAGTTTTTATTCGGTTTCCTTTTTAATCCTTTATTGCTATATCAAGTTTAATTTACGTTCAATACATTTCTCTTTTTTAAAAAAATCACTATTTAGTTGTAGTAATTTGTAAATCATTGACGAAAGTAATGCGCCACTCTTCAAGATAGTTGAAGATCATGTGACTGAGGTAATTAACAAATAGAAAAGGGATTCACCCCAAAAAAAAAAAAAACGAAAAAACAAATAGAGAAGGTAGTTGCAGAATGGTTGCTGGTTTATTTTTCCGCTGTTACTGAATGGGCTGGCATTTATGGATGACAGTTACTCAAATCTAAATTAAAATATGGTGGTATGCATGATACTATTACGATACCGAATCTTCAACAGATTCGCTGGAGCCAACACAAAATAAACTCGCAGCACTGTGAAAATTAATCTTTTACTGAAATTGTGAGACTAAGAAAGATAGTAGTGGTTTATACAAATAATAATAAGATGCAAAAAACAAAGGTAAGTAAAAGGAAGGAGATAGATTGTTGTTTATAATCTTGATTGAAGCCAGAAATTTCGCTTTCAACAAATCATAGATTGGGTATCTATTATTGGTTAACCGTTTGCCTTGTGTGAAAAATCAAGTTCACCTTATTTATAATAGAGCGAGATGTCAATTCATATATAGATCCGAAAGCATACCTGATTTTAGGTAAGCTTTTTGTGGATCTGATGTTTTGATTCCATAACCTTGTTCATGTATACTAACTTAACGTGGCCTCGTTCACCTTACTGATTGTCCCATGAATTCTTAACCAATCAATATTTGAGCCCAACGTTACTCACTCCATTCGTAACCTATAAAAAGTTAGATTTTGTGGTTTTGGTTTGGCGAGAAAATGAGTCACGCCATGGTGACTGCAATACTATTGAGGGAAAATTCTCTTTTAGGTCCAGTGAAAGTTGAAACCTTTGTTTGTTCTGGTTTGTTCATTCATTTGTCAGTCATCATATTCGTACATTGAAAATATACTGGATGGGGAAATGACAGTTCCTGATTATTTAGTTCATCAAAGCATGTTGTATTCAATGTGTTATTGTTATTGAAATCTCTATATACGATGGCTGTAATATTATTTTAACCTTCATTAATCCCTATTAATTTCTCATAAACCCTGTGCATTGCTATTGCAGCGGATATTTTCTATTTATACCAGAATGATTTGTGACATAAACCGTGTATAAAAATTGTAATAACAAAAATATATAAGCGAAACATACTTTTATTTTTTAAGAAGAAAATAGCAAGTTCATAACTTCATGTATAAGAAAGTGGATCCGCATCTGCAATTATCCACGTGTAGTCTAACTTGAAAGCAAGAAACTTGTATAATCCTATTTCATATTCTTCAAGTTTTCAACTTTTTAACGTTACTTACAATCAAGCTTATATGTTTCGATTATTAGGTTCTTCCGCCTCCTCAAATATCAATCCCAATAAAAAAAAACAATTCCTTTATTTAAAAAAAATTAATTTCACGGACAAATCATTCCAAATTTGATTTATGAGGAAAAGCCGTGCTCCATGAAATGAAATGGATATGCATATTCTTATAAGCTCTCACTATTCTTCTATCATCTTTTTTTTTTGACTGAAATTCTTCTATCATCTTTAAGGAACAAATAAACACATGAATAATTGGTAATAAAATAAATATATCAATATATTTATTAACTTGACTCCACGGTCCCTCGTCGACTCTCCTCCGGTACTGGGTTATCCAATATCCACCAGGTTGGATAAAGAGCACCGATAGGCGTGATACGGATAGCTTTTACGTACGGCTACGACAAGGCATGTTGCTCGTCCGCTTCCACAGTTTGTCTTGTAATCTAGCTTTCTGTTTCCTTATGCCTTTGTTCATCGTCAACGATTCATGGGTGGGAACGACTCCACAAAACCACAGTAAACGATCAATTTGACACCTCCGTAATAAAAAACGAAACCAAATATATGGATGGATCCTGGGAAACTTTGTTTGCTATTAGAAGGATAAGACAAAAAGATACGCGCCTTCAATATCTGAGCTCAATCATATTTGGAGTTATGTACCGAAAAACAATACCTCAATTTTACACATTCCTTGTAATCATCAAACACTCACAACGTACAAGATAAAGGTCAAAGTGCTGGGACACAGACATGTTAGAGTGGTAAACAAGGTTAACCAGCTGTTTGAAAATCGCCAAAATCATCATCTGGTGTATCCTGCGTGCTCTGATTTTCTGGAAACTTCGGGTGTTCTTGTTCTTCTTTGTCTATTTTAGGCGTCTCGTCTCTAGGACTTTTCTCGGCACTGAAATTTGTCGGAGACTTCTGCAGGGAAGTAGGAGATGCTGGGGGAGGTGGGGGCGGTAACTTGATGCTCAGTTTAGATTCTTTTGTATTACACTTTTCTTCTGAGGTGCTGTTCTGACCCTGCTCAGGCAACTTGGATTTTACATTGTGGCCACTTTTCTGCAGACAACAACAAAGGATCTCATATTGATCACGATACTTAATAAAGAAAGACTGCACCTGAATAACCAACGGAAAATGATTCCAACACATTGTATCAAAAAAGAAAATGATTCCAATACATTAGTCTTAATTTGCAGTTTGAGAGTCTCTCCTTCTTTTAAACTGTAATCAATTGAGGAAATTTGCTGGAAATGTTGTTCCATCTCTTCTGCTTCTTTCTTTTTGTTTAGATATCTTTAAAATAATTTAGGGAAATACATGCCCTCCTTTTTATGAGAAACAGTGCAAGGTATCTATTTCCAATGCCACTTACTCTGAGAAAAAAAAAATGCATGAAAAGATACCAGGTAAATCAGATAGATAAGAAGAATTATAAATATGTTAAGGATACTTCATATGGTCATGCAAGGCAGCTTGAAAGTCATAAGCCTCTGTTCTTTCTCGGAATCCTATACCAATGAAGGCATGCCGAAGACGGCCACCTACAAGATTTCCAATTATTAAGGATCAAATTTGAAAAGTAATATGAAACTCAAAGGAGCATAGAGAAATATTGCATTGGATTATGTGGAGTCAAAGCTCACAAGTCTTTCAACTACTATGACAAAAGACAAAAGGTACACTTCTGCAAGCCAAATTTGCAGGGGCTAAAAATAATAAATTGAGAGATCAACAACAATGATAAATAAATTGAGAGAGAAAATGGTTAAAAAATGCTAATGTCACTTACATATTCTGAGTAGCCTTTCACAACGAGGATGCATGACCGATTCAATCAATATAAATGAAACAAAACTAAAAGACAGCTCAGAATTATTATGAACACCTATTTGCAAGCTACTAGCTAAGGTAAAAGGAAATCCCAACCATCATGGAGAAATTCTCTGCTAGTCAAAAAGGAATTTGTTGACCATTCTAATTCAAGTCAGGCGCCAATCCCAGTCTGTTGTCTGCGGGATGCAGACCACAGAATTCACAGTAACCACTAAGACATTTCGTTCTCTGGACATTCTTATAAGTTCTAAACTCAAATCACTTACCTGTAATGAATTTTAAAGATTACACATGCAAAGATGTCTGGTTTCTGAATCTCAAAATATTGATCATTGTCAAGCCATATGTCAACTAATTCAAAAGGGCTCGAAAGAGAATGCTCATATTTGGACCCACAATCTTAAAATAACGTCAACAAGTTCATGTACCATTCATGAGTTTCATGATCATAATAATAAAAGTTACTTGGATACTGTAAGTGCATCTCTGGACTATGGGCAAACAACTCAATACCTTCCTCCTATTAAAGTTATATTTATAACCTACCCAGAATTAGTGCCACCCCTTCACAAAACTTATATCTAAGGTAAGAAGTCACATCTTTATAAAGTATCGGATGGGGCAGCTTTGAGGAATGTTTCAGAAAAATGCTAGCGAGTCCTTGTCTGGAAACCCTCTTAGATGGAATCCCATCTTCTATTTAAAGCATCAGATAGAGCAGCTTCCAGCAATGCTTCAGAAATATGCAAGCAAGTATTTTCCCAGAAACCATCTTGCGGGTCAATATTTCTGCAGAATAAGCTAAATTCTTGATAATTCTTATGATAATTTTTCTGTCTGCTTTGAGCTGTGAGGAAAAGGAAATCACTGAAATGATTGAAAATGATACCGCTGTAGTTTGTTGAACTTCAATTCAAAAATCTTATCCAAAAGGTTCTTATGTTACTATGTTATGTTTTCTTTCTTCTTCTCCTCCCACTTTTGTTGCTTTTATTTCTTTTAGAAGGATATATTTTCCTCCTCAGCTCTTGCACAGTGCGAAAGAAGAAAAAGAAGCAAGTCAAAATTTAGATATCAGGGCTCACCTATGTTCTCTTCTATGCGAAGAACAAAATATCTGCAAAATTGAAGCATTAAGCATCAAGAAGCAGAAAATGACATGATTACAACTCAAAGAAAATAACAACAGCCTTACATACCTACTGCTGTCAATAACAGGCTCCACAGGATGCGGCTCTCCATTTCTTAAAAATGCCCGAGCATATAGTTCACCTAATTAAATAAAACATTTTTAAATGTAGTAACACCAAAAGAAATGAAAGAGGAATTAAATGTAAGATCTATCAAGGCACCTCAAATATAATCTTACCTGTTTTCTTATCTTCAAGTTTTATAATGCATAGTTCTCCCTTGCTAAGGACTTTCAATGTCCCTTCCCATGCCCATTTGTTCACATCCCATTCATCAGCCCTGAAATAATTTCGCAAGCATATATTGATATATAGGGTAATTGTTCAATTAGCAGTGGAAGCATTGAGTCACTAAACTATAAAGAGTTTAAACTCAATTGCTTCCCAGAAGACACTTTTACAAATGTCTCGAAAGAAATATAGCGTCATCAGATGAAAATTCCCAGGCGCTGAAAATTTTGGCTTTTTTCCAAGCAAGTGCACATTGGTAGAAACTTTAAAGTTATGCCAAATAATTGGCATAGCCAACAGATCACAAGTATAGTAGATCAGGAATCATAATTTAAAGTTAACCAGAAACCTGTAAGAAGCTGCGCTCTTCCTGGGGGGAATCTGCATACATTGGAGTAACCGTCAGCTACACATTACAGATATTATAAAATTCAAGATTTCAAGCCATCTATCTCATTATGACAGTAAATTTAATTAATAAAAAATCTCAAAATGTATTGCCACCATACTTTTTGAATTGGCTTAAGCTTTATGAAATAATACCATTTCAATTCGACAAAAATACATGAGAGGGCGATGGGGATATGATGCAGATTTTGATTCTGAGCTCAAATGTCAAACTTGATCCTTTGAACTCTCATTTCATCGAAAATTTATTTTTCATTGACCAATCACAATCTTTCACCTACACTACTAAATTCTGAACAAACACTGAACAAGCTTGAAATTGCAAGATATTCTCAATCTTTTTGTTTTCAAAGATGATCTGAGTTATACTTACTATATAGACGTAACATTCAGACACTTGAAAGAGAACGAGCTCTATGGCCTCATCAATCTGTTCGCTTTCGTCCCCAATTTTCTGAATGTCAGATTTCTTCTCTTCCTGCGCCATGATTGACGGAAAGAGAGAGAAAGAGACTGCAGATTTAAAGGCACTGAGTAGAACAACAGATAAATTAGAGGAAGGGATTGGCGGAAGGAATCGAATTATGTTGAAATGGGTTAAGAGTTTGTATCGACAGCGAGAAGACTCGACAGAACGAAGGCTTGTCTCAGTTTCCTTCCCTTAGGCAGAAACGACGCAGCACCCCAGCGCTTCTGCGTCAGAGCAATAACGGCCGTAGGATGATAATACTTTAGGAATACAAGGTTCTACAATGACCTGATGGGTCCCTTGGTGTGGCTGGAGAGTTTTTTTCTGTTTTTTTTTTTTTTAATCAATTGGGCTATACTTAGTGTATTACTTTAATTTGTTGATAAAAAAAACCCCTCCAGACTAGAAGAGAGGGTATCAATAATTAATTTATAATTTTTTAAAAAATATTATTTGTATCAATAATATCCTTATTAAATATAAATATTTGGATAATAATAATTAAAATTTTAATATATTATTTTTTAAAAAAATAATAAATAAAATAAGGGTATAATTAAAAATAATAATTATTTATAAAATTTATCAAATACCTTATATTTTGAATAAAGTAAGGCTTCTAAAAAAATGCCTCATATTATGGTGGGAGTATATAACTTTAATTTTAAGGAAAAAATTCAAAATAAATACAAGAATGAATGAAAAAATAATAACAACAAGATTAAAGCTAATATATGCCACACTATTTATATGTTATTATTAATATGATTTTTTATAGTTTTATATCATAGTATATTGATAATAATAAATAAATAATTCAAAAATACAAAAAATTGAGATAATATGCTTGGAAAAATAGAAATATATACTAAATAAATTTTACTGTAATACTACCCTTAGCACATATATTTCTTCCTAAAAATTAATATGAATTAATTTACATAAATTTCTCAATGATTTTCAGCTTTGAATTAACAAAAAAGGCATAATTGCAAATTTGCAATATAGCTTGAATTCTGTTTATTAATTCACAGTTAAAAAACGAAAAAAAAAAATTGTGGACATAAAAATTTAAATGCTCTACATCTATTATTCACACATAAACGATCACGTTATAGATTCGTCTTCGCATAAGGACATGTGCAGGTCAGGAGGAGCAGTACGCAGTAAAGCAAGATTTTTCATTTCAGTGTATCTATATATAATCAAGTTTACATGGCAGTAACTCAGTAAGGCACATGACATGTATCTTCAATCAATCAGTTGTTCGCAACCAGACATACTCATGCTTAAGGAGCTATAAAATTCCCCCCATGGACTTAGTAAGCCTCACCAGAATTCTCCCAGAGATGATGAATTGAATATAGAAATCCTCCTTCTCTTTCTGATTCCCACGAGGTCCTGTGAAGCAGAGAATCTATCAACCACGGACTTGAGAGCTTGATGAACAGAACCAGCAAGAAACTGACGGTACTCAGAATCTTCAACGTTGTGCTCTTTGCAGCTTATTATCACAAACACGTTCTTCATCCTCCCTCCCAAGGTTGCAATTTCTGCCCTCATTATCATAAGATGAAGAGCATCAAGTGCTTGTCTTATATCAGACAGTAGCCCAGGTTTATATTCACAACACAGAGATGCCTTAATTGAATAAGGAAAACCATTGGAACCTTCCTCTTGTTCTTCAACTCTAATCTCATCACTGTCCTTTGGTATCATTAAGCCTTCACAAGCCTGTTCTGCATTCCCTTTCAGCTCTTTCAAATGCCTGATCACCTCAGCCAGTAATGATGCTTTGTCCATCTATGGGTTCATGCCACAGAAAACAATGACTCAGATTAAAAAAATATTTCAGTGAAGAAACTGATGGTATAGAAGGCAATATTGAAGTGACTAACCTTGTTAGCACCTGGAATTACGGTGCGAAGAGTATCAAGATGAGCATTGATCCTTGCTCTTCTCCTGCGTTCTGCCTCGCTATGGTTCTTCAAAGCTTCGATGCTTCTCTCAGAGGGCAAGCCCTTGTTTCGTTCTCTGACAGAAGCCTCCACGAGCTCACCTATCTGGTTATCCAAAACCAGAGAAGAAGATGAAGTAAATCCACTTTCTATAACGCCAGAATTAGCAGTAAAACCAAGACTGGTTCTCTGTGAGGCATTCCCACAAATGCCCGAGCTCCAGTCAAAACCTTCCATTATTTTGCTCCTTTCTGTGAGTTCCATTACAAGAACAAGGCAAGACTGTGCCTGCGAGAAGAATTTAATGAAGAAATGGGACTGATTTCTTGCTTGCCATATTGGGTTTGGACTGGAAGATGTAGTGAAGTGGAGAATCAGAGGGAGTCAGAGAGGATCAGGAAAGTACTATATTTCCTGTTTAGGTGAGGTAAGCCAGAAGTGCTCGGTCTTAAGTAGCACAAATTTTTCGTCTCATTCGTTTTAAATTATAAGTGTAAATGTAACTAAAGTACAAATTGCTGTCTCGTGGGTGCAACTCTGCAAGATGAAATCTCAACGGGAGGATGAGCAAATGACATTTAAATCACAAAATATCAGTTTAATGAAAATTTTAGGCCCTCGTGAAATTTTAAATTTCAGTCTTCAATTGCAAGTTAAGTATTTAAATTTTAAATGAAATTACTCTTAACTAAAAACTAAAATTTTTATTTACAACTATCTCAATCAATATTTTTGTTCGTAAATTATTTTTAAAAAAAGATTATTAAAATTTTAACTGTCTTTAAATTGACATGTGGAGACGTAAATGTAATTATTAATGTCTTAATCCTCTTGTCTCTTGAAATATTGTTTACTCAAGTTTAGCCTAATCTTTTCTTTCTTCACTGTTTTTAAACAGCACGCCCACATAAATGGCATATTCTCTTGCGTGGAAATTGGAACATCAGATTCAAGACAATCAATCCCTGCCAAAACCAAACACTATAATAATTCTCTATAAAACTACATTAACGATGCATATAGTAGAATGAATGGAAACAGGCTCAAGAGTTGAACGACGCGTAGGATTTTTGCTTTTAAATTTTTATTTAACTTAGTGATCCATGTGAGGTCTAGATTTTATAATAGCAAGTATCAAAGTTTCGCCCTTTATTGTTAGTCAAGATCTCGGTCAATATAATCAAACAAATCCTGTTCACATTCATCCGACAAGCCAGTCCAGAAAATTAGTGCTTAAAATAAGTGCTCTCTCTTCGATGTCGGGCAAGCAAATGTTGATTTACGGAAAATTTAGGATAAGTTTGTTTGATTCTGCAAATAAAAGCAATGAGAAAAGGCAGCGTTTTTAACTAAAAAAAGATAATTTTTATAGGATACTTGTTATACTCTTGTAATCCATATTCAGGGGGTGTTTTGCACATAGTTTTATGTGAAGTTATAAGAATGAATTCTTAACATTTTTTTTTTGTTTTTTTAAGGATTTTATGCACCAAACGTACTCTTGTTTATAATTATATACGGGCTTCACACACATCCACACGTATAACATCCATAGGCGGCACTACACACTGGACTCAGGAAAAATTGCAAGGAGGATTTACATGTTCTAATATTTTACACCCCTTGATTTAAATATTTTGCATCCCTTAATCTGATTTTAAAGATGTTTGGATTTTAAAAAAAAAAATTATCCTCCATTAGGAATAATATTACCAGTTGCCACAACAACAGTTAAAAAAGCTTTTTCTATTATGAAATTTGTGAAAAATCGGTTGCAGAATGTAGGGAAGATCTATTTATGATGAATAATTATCTAGCAACTTATATTGAAAAAGATATTTTCTTTAACATCGATAATAAAAATAATTACTTAATGATTTCATGACATGAAACCACGTAGGGTACTATATATTTGTTAAAATTATTAAGTTATTTTTAAATTATTAAATTTTGAAATGTTGCACCCCATAACTCAAGGTCTTGACACCGCCATTGATAACATCAATCCCTTATTACTTGAGACTAGAGTAGAACGTATAAGTGATGATATAACAGGATTTTGTTTTATCAAACAATTTCTTGCGCTTCGAATTCTCTATAATAATGACTGAGCCAAAATTAGGAGGAAAGAACACGGATGAGGGTTAAGTCTAATAAAAATAAAATATCACTCATAATATAGTGAACTAAAATTAGAAAGAGATAGTCACACTTATTATCCAGCTGCACTCTAACAGATTAAGTCAAATAAAATGATACATGCGCGCATAAAAAATAAGGGGGAACGGAGGAAAAAGAAAACCATATTTTGGTGTTGATGATTCATCAGTGTAAGATAAGCATGAGCTTTTGGGAATTTACATAACCCCAGCAAGCTTTTCTTACATTACTCAACCACCCACTGAGATCAATGGCTTCGGGTCGTGACAAAAGACTAATGAATAATGACAAACGATGATTTATAGCACATTGGGAAGAGAATCTTCAATATCTTACATTATATACGAAGAGATTGAGAGAGAGAGGGAGGGAGGGAGGGAAGTAGGTGGGAAGTGGGTGGTTCCTTGGGAGTAAGAAGGTGATAGGCATAGCAACATGAAAACAACAAATGGGGCGATGGGGGATCTAAGGAGATCTCAGAAAAGGAGTTGTTAATTGAGGATGTCTGGATTTGTGTCTCTTCCACGTCTGCAACGCACACTCTTCTTGAATTTTCTTTTGGAATCATGCCCTTGCCCACAAACTACTCGGAAAACGTGTCTGCCTTTTATTTATTTATTTTTAAACATTTGAAGATGTTGAGCATTCCTGTCATGTTCATGACATGCAAGGGCCACTTTTGGATTCATTCCACCCTTTTCGCTAATCACCCTTACCTGTAATGTTTATTGTTTAATCTTGTCATGTTCCTGATTCGTTCTCATCAAATTAATTACAAACATCATTCTGGAGGTCGCGTATTATTTATGTAACTATTGTTATTATACCCGTTAACCTTTGGAATTTTAATTCTAAAGTAGGTCATTTAAGCTCAATCCTGTACCTGTACACACACACACACACACAAACACACACACTATATAACTGGAAGCTCAATCACATAGCATAGCATCCTATTTATAAAATATTCACTACATTATTTTATTTTTTGATATGAAATCAAATGCTACAAATTAAAATAATCATTAAAGATGTTTAAAACCAATCCAAACTGACTACACTAAACCAGACCAAATAAAACCTACATGAATTGATTATAAATAAAATTTGGTTTGATTTTTCTTCAAGCAATGCAAAACTAATGGGTTCAATTTGGTTTAGATTTGTGCTTTTGGAAACTTGAATCAAATTAAATCAAGTCTTATTATATTGATTATATATATTTTTATAGATTTGTCTGAGTTGTTTTTCCTTTTCCAAGTTTAGTTAAGTCATTGGTAAAAATATGCTATAATTAGCTAAATGTTATCTATAATTGTTTATGATAATTTTTTAAAATTTTATAATCAAGTGTTTTAAAGTTAATATATTGATTTTTGATAATTAAATATGCCAATTGATTGTTAAAAAATTTTGTGTTCAAGAGAATTTTCATTTAAAATAATAATAAATGGTTAAAAATTATCAATGAACATGGATATATATTGATGATTATGAAAAATATTTTATAAAATTTTTTTGAACTTGATCTAAACTTAAATTAAACTAAACTAAATAAGTCCCAAACTATGGTGAATCAATTGGCTTAGTTTTATTTTTTCTCGAAACTGAACTGAACTAAATTTGTGAATCGCTTAGTAAGCATATATCAAAATAAATAGTGCGCCATAGAGAGATTTTTTTGGAGAAAAAAGAGAAGAAAAAACTATTGTTGAAAGGATCTTGGGTTGGCCTTTTTGTGCGTTAAGATGAGGGCACTACAAAGCTTGTGAAGGTCTCAACATCGATGGATGACTGAGTGGCCCAAGTGAGAAACAGTTTCTTTATCTCGGTTCAACCCATATCTTGGGCCTATCATTTCTTTTGGGCCCAGTTTACTTCCCTCCCTCTGCTAGGGATGCAGTTTGATGTTGGAATCAAACGCTATGTGTTTGGTATTATTATATCATATTCAAATATTATCAATTATATTAGTGATAAAGTAAGACTTATGCACTGAGTATTATATATTTAACATACTTTCATTTAATCAAATCAATATACATGGATTTTTCTGTGTAAATTTTTTTATATAATGAATAATTTATGAAAAACACTCATGTATTGAGTTAACTTAACAAAAAATAAGCATATTAAATATATATAATTTTTTTTAGTAATAACTCTTTAACATGATTTTTTTTTTCAAATACGAGATTTAAATTCTCAACCTTACACTTGACGCCATTGTCATAATCATGAGTGCATGTCTAATGCTTGCTAATAGTTGTATAAAAATTAATAGTTTTTGTGCATGATTGTATGCTTCCCAATTACATCATACATGATACCTTTATTATAAGGAAAATGATAATAAAATTTTTCTGAAATATATAAATAATAATTTAATTATTTAAAATGCTATAATTCCTGTGAAGTTTCTATGAACTTTTTTATTATTAATGAATTTGTATAAATTATTAAATTGCTCTTATTGAAAATAAATAATTCATAAAATTTATTTAAATATTCACAATTTTTTTTTTATTTTCACAATGATGCAACAGCAAATTATAACTTCACATGCTAAAATCCTTAAAAATTTTAAAAAAATTATAACATTTTAAGAAATTAAATTATCAATTATATATTTCGGAGAGATTTTATTATTATTTTTCTGTCATTATATCATTATCAAAAGTTTATGCGCCTGGTATGCTTTAGTTGAAGAATTTTATATCAATAATGATAAAAAAAATCTAACTCACTCATTTTTTTTAAATAAAAAATTTTCCAATCTAATAATATATTTAATTAGAGGGCAAGCAGCATGCGAAAGAAAATAGAGAGTGAGAGAATAGAGTGCGAGCATCATGTGTGCTAAGTTGCACCTATGTAAACAAATGAATTTTTATTAAGATTAAATGGCAAAAATGCTTTGTAATTTTTTTTCAGGATCACTTGATATTTTAAACTTTTTTAAAATATTTTTGTTTTTAAAGTTTTAAAAATAGAGTATTTTTTCTCTATCGTTAAATATAAGGAACGTTGATTGTTAACTAAAATTGGTTAGGATATTTTACAGTTTTGTCATCCTTCATTTTTGCATTTTTTAGCCTTTATTTTCATTCGTTGGAAGAAAAAAAGTTAAAGAACTTACTAAAAAATGAAATTAGAGGCTAAACATAAAAGAAAGGAAAAAAATATAAAAATAATTTTTATCAAACTTTAATTTAATGGTCAATGTTTGTTATAAAAATGTTCTC